CCCTCCTATAAGCCTCCTCCTTAAGATGATGAATCTCCCCTTCGAGGGTACAGACATGCGTTGCAACCTAAAGCCAAAATAGATAGCTAAGTCATTACATATTTAAAACAAGAGAAGTCAGAGATGAAAAAAAATGATAAACCTTACCTCAAGAAGCGCATGCAAGGCATCTCGACTCCTAACTCTAAAAGGCCAGCTAACAGAGCGACGAAGATCAATTTGGGGAATCAGCTTGATAAGGGCTCAACTGCTTATAACCACATCATCCAGTAGGCTCTCCTCAAGATCAATGATCAAGGCCAGGTCAAGCTAACTTGAGCTCGAATCCTCCACACCAACATATGAGGAACCATGTCGAATTGGCTGTCCCTTAGAATTACAAGCCACTATCCCCACTGTTGCTTCCTTAACACTAGGCACTGGTGTTGACACCGGTGCTTCTTCAGCATCAAGTGGGACCTCGGACGCAACAGAGAAGCTCGACACTAATGCAGGCACTAGTGTTTCATCAACGCTGGGTGGAACCANAGTGGGACCTCGGACGCAACAGAGAAGCTCGACACTAATGCAGGCACTAGTGTTTCATCAACGCTGGGTGGAACCACGAGCTCGGTAGCTGAGCTTGATGCTAGTGTTGGGCTATCCTCTATGAGTCTGGCCCTCTTTGCCAGAGATCCTAGGCCCCATGCTCACCTTCTCTAGCCCACTTGCTCCACTGTCACGTCTCTTTCACTGATCAAATACACAAGGACTAGAAAAGAAGAGCGATCAAAGAGTAAGCTCAAGGGAACTCACTAGACAGATATAACACAATATCAAAGGAATTATAGNACCTCAGCAGACTCCCAGGAATCCCCAAAAACAAAGAAAAAATGATTGATCCATCCTTTTTGGGGGCTAGGGGCATCAAGAACCAGCATCGAGAATTGACGCCTCCACATGAAGCGACTAAAGTAGAANATCCATCCTTTTTGGGGGCTAGGGGCATCAAGAACCAGCATCGAGAATTGACGCCTCCACATGAAGCGACTAAAGTAGAAGGGCATGTCAAAGTCGAAGTCAAAGAAATAGAGGAACAGAACAACAGTGGGAAAATCATCATAACCTAGCATGCGCCAAAAAATGAAAAAGCTCATTAGAGTACCACATCCTTCTGGGGAAAGGTGCAAGAACCCTCTCAATGGCTAGATGAATGGGCAAACAGAGACCAATCTTGAACTTGCCTTCGTAAATACAAACTTCCTGACGAAAGATAAGGTTGCAAGGATTGTCGAGCAAAGGAATCCGGATAGTCAAGCCACCAGGAAGAAGATACCGTCTCCTAACCTCCTCTACATCAGAAGCAGTAACAACAGAGGGGAACAAAAACACAGAGTACCATGGCTCATCGATCATAACCTAAGTGTGTTGCTTGAACAACGGGGTAGGAGAAGAAGCCATAAAACCAAGGAGTAAGCAAAACACACAAGAAACTCTAAGGAGAATTGAAAATGCGAAAAGTAAGAAGTTCCAAGATAAAGGGAAGTAAACAACATGCAAAAATGAACAAGCAACCGTTACACCCCCCATAATCATGATAGGAGTTAATAAAGGTGGTGCCCTAGAAAGTTAGGTGAAGTTAGGTGGGCATGAGTAACAATTCATTTATTGCTTTTTCACCTAAACCCGTGCACCTCGATCTAAGAACGTATGACACTAGCAAGAAAGAACAGCCAAATAGAGCTGACAAAAAGTGAAAGAGCCCAGATACGCACAGCTCGAGCTTGCACAACTCGAGACTACATAGCACGAGATGGTGCAGATTGGGCATGAGGGGCAAAGGAACGACTAAAGTATCAACCATACTCCAACCAAGTCAAGACTTCCTTGGAGTAGGGGGTAAGGAGAGAACACATCAAGTAATCAGCAACACCAAGAAAAATTTAAAGCATTTTTCATTTCAGTAAACAAGAAGGATTAAACTTCACAAAAAAAAAAGAAGAAGAAGCAATAGCCACAAGAGCAGCAAAGGTGTCAAGGCTGGCTGGATAGCGAAGCAGCACCAGAGGGACCACTTGGAGGAAGATCAAATCGAGGCTCCAACTGGTCTAGGCAAAGGTTAGGAAACTTCTCGACTGCTTGGTCCTCGAAATTGAACACCACCTCGTCATTTGATAGTAGATCAGCTCATCAGTTTGGGCATCAAGCTTCTGTTGCAAGGAGGCCAATTCCTCTAACTATGTCCTCAGCCGTTCCCGCAAAGAGATCTCTGAGGTGGTAGTTGTAATCAACTATTAACAAACCCAAGCCCTCTGATCGAGTGCTACCTCCAGCTTGGACTTCAAAGCTAAACCCTAGCGTAGTAACTCAACTTCCCTCCTATAAGCCTCCTCCTTAAGATGATGAATCTCCCCTTCGAGGGTACAGACATGCGTTGCAACCTAAAGCCAAAATAGATAGCTAAGTCATTACATATTTAAAACAAGAGAAGTCAGAGATGAAAAAAAATGATAAACCTTACCTCAAGAAGCGCATGCAAGGTATCCCGACTCCTAACTCTAAAAGGCCGGCTAACAGAGCGACAGAGATCAATTTGGGGAATCAGCTTGATAAGGGCTCGATTGCTTATAACCACATCATCCAGTAGGCTCCCCTCAAGATCAATGATCAAGGCCAGGTCAAGCTAACTTGAGCTCGAATCCTCCACACCAACATATGAGGAACCATGTCGAATCGGCTGTCCCTCAGAATTACAAGCCACTATCCCCACTGTTGCTTCCTCAACACTAGGCACTGGTGTTGGCACCGGTGCTTCTTCAGCATCGGGTGGGACCTCGGACGCAACAGAAAAGCTCGACACTAATGCAGGCACTAGTGTTTCATCAACGCTGGGTGGAACCACGAGCTCGGTAGCTGAGCTTGATGCTGGTGTTGGGCTATCCTCTATGAGTCTGGCCCTCTTTGCCAGAGATCCTAGGCCCCATGCTCACCTTCTCTGGCCCACTTGCTCCACTGTCACGTCTCTTTCACTGATCAAATACACAAGGACTAGAAAAGAAGAGTGATCAAAGGGTAAGCTCAAGGGAACTCACTAGACAGATATAACACAATATCAAAGGAATTATAGATACTTATGGTTGCTCGGGGTTATGGTCAGCTCGGGATGCATGAGCTCCGAATAAGAAAGGGGCAACCAAGGTCGAATTTGATTAACCTGAGATTGCGTCTTGCTAGTCAAGCTCGGATACTCACTTGTAACGCAAAGAAATAGGGCCACAAGCCAAGTTAGATCCTGAAAAGAACAGCATGGACAAATCAATAGAAGAAAACTCATCAAGCCGGAGAAACTCATGAAGATGGTTATGCTTGCCTCAGACCGTAGGAACCCTGATCGGTGACATAATCTGGGGCTCGAACTCCCAACCTATCTCGAACACAAAGAAATACCTCTTCCTCCATCCTTTAGGATCAGGAGGGAGGTTAGTAATAGGAATCTCTCCCCCTCACCTGGGGGCGAAGTAGTAGAACTCAGATACTTCCACTAGGTGAAAGAAGTTAAGAAACTTAGCCAAGATGGCACGNGAAAAGAACAGCATGGACAAATCAATAGAAGAAAACTCATCAAGCCGGAGAAACTCACGAAGATGGTTATGCTTGCCTCAGACCGTAGGAACCCTGATCGGTGACATAATCTGGGGCTCGAACTCCCAACCTGTCTCGAACACAAAGAAATACCTCTTCCTCCATCCTTTAGGATCAGGAGGGAGGTTAGTAATAGGAATCTCTCCCCCTCACCTTGGGGCGAAGTAGTAGAACTCAGATACTTCCACTAGGTGAAAGAAGTTAAGAAACTTAGCCAAGATGGCACGAGGCCGAGTGAACATCAATTTCCATAGCACATGGAACACTAACAGAATCGTCCATCCAGTAGGAAGTAGCGTAGCAGGATAAAAACTGAAGAAATGCAGAACCTTCCTTGCAAATGGAGGAATAAGGAACCAAAGCCCCAATTAGAAAGGGACTTCAAAGAAACAAACTCAATCCCTAAAGGAATGATGATATGTATAGTGTTCAGCAGAGCGGATGGTCACTCTATTGGGAAACACNTAGGAAGTAGCGTAGCAGGATAAAAACTGAAGAAATGCAGAACCTTCCTTGCAAATGGAGGAATAAGGAACCAAAGCCCCAATTAGAAAAGGGACTTCAAAGAATCAAACTCAATCCCTAAAGGAATGATGATATGTATAGTGTTCAGCAGAGCGGATGGTCACTCTATTGGGAAACACATAATGACTAACAATTGCTTGAACCTCCTCACCACTAATCTCACTAGCTTCAACTTCGGTAAAGATCAACTGTTGAGAGTCATGATAAGAGGTGGGTGTTCGTGCCATAAAAATGGAATGTGAAACAAGTTGAAGAAAGGAACCTTAAGGCAGAAATCAGGAACAAGAAGGAAAAGCTTCAACATCAAGGTAAAAGGTCTACTCATAGAGGGGTATATTTCTAAAGTTCGCAAACAGGCACACATCACATCTGTAGGGTGCCATTAATGTGCGTCAATCGCATTTAATGCCACAGACACCTGGCAATCATGGGGGAAATGGGCGCCACTTTTAAGAAGCCACTACCACCACTAGCAACGTACGTTCCCAACCAAACGAAATCGTCGAGTTTGGAGTACACGAAAAGGAATGAAAAAGGTCCAAAATAACCCCAACAAGCCAAGTTAGCTCGGTAAAGGGGCAGCCCTGGTTCCACAAAGGTCAGGATAATCCTCAGCAGATCATCGCAGTCATAGTACAATATTGGGCACCACCCCAGCTTTATTGCCCACTGGTTAAAAAAAATAAACAGACAAATAAAATAGACAACAACACACACGCCAGGAAGAATGGGCTCACAAACAAGAAAGTACACTGTGTTTTCATTTAACAAAAAGGAAAGTACACAAAAAGGAAATGTCAAGTACAAAAAATTAATTGCAATAAAGAAGAGATAGTAACAGCCAAGAGTGAAGTTCAGGCGACGGGCTCCCTGTCTTTGCCAGCCACCTTAGCAATGGGCTTCTTGTCTGTACCAGCCACCTCGGCAATAGCCTCCTTGTCTGTGCCTACGGGCTCAGTAGAAATTCCTTCTCCGGCAGCCATGCCTGCTATTTTTAACACCTTGAATTAAGGTATAAAGGAGTTCAGGTCCAGCTCGAGATATACCTTTTTGGCTTGGTCTTGAAAGTTTAAGAACTNTCTGTACCAGCCACCTCGGCAATAGCCTCCTTGTCTGTGCCTACGGGCTCAGTAGAAGTTCCTTCTCCGGCAGCCATGCCTGCTATTTTTAACACCTTGAATTAAGGTATAAAGGAGTCCAGGTCCAGCTCGAGATATACCTTTTTGGCTTGGTCTTGAAAGTTTAAGAACTCATTCACAAAGGAAGAAGCAACGTCCTTAAGGAACTCATCAATCCTCCTCTTCAGAGATGCCACCTCGGCGTAAGAAGAAAACATAAGGTACCTCAGCCAAACCCTAGATGATGTGCTTGGTCTTTCTCTTGAAGGTAACTCGTATGGCCATCTTGGGGTCCGATGTTGGGACCAGTTCAGCTAAAGTAGTCACGGCAGCTTTGGGGTTACAAAGGATTCCACTCCCATGGGCAATTAGCTGGGGAAGACTAGGTTCCCCCTTTCCCCCCTTTTGTAGAGTCAGCTGTTGAAGAACAAGAGGCACCACCGATGGTGTGGGCTGCTTTTGCGAGATTTTACTCTTAAGAAGTTTGGGGGGCACGAAAAAAGAGACGGTACCCTTAAGAGAAGCTAAGTCCTCACGCTTTTGCTCTAGAGAAGCGGGCGTCTGCCCTTCCTTGGGAGGTAGCTCAAAGCTCTTTACCTGCTTCCTCGTCTTCTCGACATCGAAAAAGGCCACCATGATGAGATCAGGATCCATTTTGTTTAGGCTGGTCGGTAGGGAAAGGTTTCAAAACGTTTGCAGGATGTGTGTCCACAAGGGGTCCAAGTTTGTGCTTTGCAAGGTTATCCTTAGTCACTAAATCCAAAAAAGACTTCAAATCGAAAGTCTCTGCCTTGGCCACATGGGCAGCCTCCACGGCGTCGAGAACTGGACAAAAACCTATAAATCAAGTCATAAGTTAATATAATAACCATGAATAACAAATGTTGCCAGCAAATATATAAAGAAAAGCATAGCCAATTATTGGCCTTATGAGTGTTTGTTGGGACTCCCCAAAATTGAGAAATACAAGGAACGTCACTAGAAACTCCTGATATATCCCAAGAAACGCCTTCAACAAAAAAGAACTTCGGCTTCCACCCCTTGTTAGAAAATGGGAGCCCAAAAATCAGACTCTTTGTCTTCACCCTCTTGGCAAAGTATAGGAAGCCCAATGATGGAGAGGATTTGAGCTAGAAAAGGAAGGTGAATTCGCGAATTGTGGGCGGAGAGTCATTTCCACTCTTAAACCAATGTATGAGGAAGCTGACTAGTAGACCCCCGTCATTTGGATACACCCGAGTTGGGTAGACATTATAGAAAGCAAGAATGTTTCGGATGAAAGAATGGACATAAAACCAGAGGCCAACATGAAAATTCGACTCAAAAGCTGGTCATTCCAAAAATGAAATAATTGAAACTCTCATCCTCCTCAAGAAAATGGAGTAATACGAACTTCGAAAAGGAATACTCCTCCCTCAGAACTTCCAAACCCTCATCGTCGAGGTAGCTCGAGGTCGACTCAGCACAGCATGTCCGGTTGGAAAGGTCTCGACAAACCTTTTCTTTCTTAGGGGCAGAATTTGAAGCACCCCTGGATCTTTTCTTCTTAGGATGACTAGAGAGAATGGGGGCAACACTAAAGGAGCCTCCATCGAAGGGATAGAGGTCGAAACCTCAAGAACCATCCCCAAGACATCCTCAGTAGGTTTNTCGAAAAGGAATACTCCTCCCTCAGAACTTCCAAACCCTCATCGTCGAGGTAGCTCAAGGTCGACTCAGCACAGCATGTCCGGTTGGAAAGGTCTCGACAAACCTTTTTTTTCTTAGGGGCAGAATTTGAAGCATCCCTGGATCTTTTCTTCTTAGGATGACTAGAGAGAATGGGGGCAACACTAAAGGAGCCTCCATCGAAGGGACAGAGGTCGAAACCTCAAGAACCATCCCCAAGACATCCTCAATAGGTTTCTTGGGAAGGAACTCAAAGTTTTCTATCAAAGACAAGGAAAATTGGTCGTCCCTAAGCAATACATCACTGGCAATGGGGACCTCTTCCCCGCTCGGGGGAGGGAACGCCCCCTTCTTAGAATGGCCACTAGAAGAGGCCGTAGAGATTCCTTTAGCACCCTCATCAACTCTTCCTCAAACTCAAAATTGGAAGAAGAATCGAGAACCACCTTCCCATTATTAGCCCAAACTACATATCAGAATGTAAAGAGGGCAAATGTAAAGCCCAATCCATCAAGAACAGGGGAGTTAGACACCAAGTTTTGAGTAAGGATAACCTCAACAGGAGGGGATAATCTATGAATTGAGAAAGGGACGCAAAATTACCGAAATGATTTTGAAAATAGCTAAATCTCCAAATAAGGAAGTAAAACCCAAAATCCCACCAAGGAGGGTTAAAAGGATCCAGATCGAAGAAAATAAGGAGAAGGAAAAGACGTACCTAACCTAAAGCTAGAGTTGGATCGCACNCACCAGGGAGGGTTAAAAGGATCCAGATCGAAGAAAATAAGGAGAAGGAAAAGACGTACCTAACCTAAAGCTAGAGTTGGATCGCAAAAGAACGAAAAACGCAGAATCCTTAGACCACCAAGAAGTTAGAACAAGCTGCCTCAAAACCCAAAAGAAGAAAGAAGAAGCGCAAGGAGATAGAAATTCAAAATGTATATGGGAAAGGCAATGAGACTTTTCCCCCTTTTATATGAAGCATTTATTGCCACGACGGGACGTGGACAATGACGTGTAGAGAAAATCGTATTAGGGGACCTTCCCCAAATATGACACATGTCCCCCCTCAAGCACATCTATCCCATCAAAGTCGGCGTGGTTTAACCAAACACGTCCTATGGCAGCACAAGCAATCATGTGAAGACGTCATCCATGGAAGCCGTTATGACCTTGAAAAAGACATATTTAACCCCAGATCAGAGCTTGATGTCACTTTCATGACTTGGGGCTGGAGGGTAACTGATGATGGTAGGATTTCAGCTTGGGGCGCCCGTCCATATCCCAGAGCATCCAATAAGCCCATTGGTTATGTGGTAGCCCAAACGGCCCATCCGTAGCATGTCCACCCTACAAAAAGATTGGGCCACAACCCAAAAAAAGAGTGTCCAACGACACTCAAATCAATACATTCCTGCTTGGCCATATCGAGCTTAGAGAAAATCAGCGTAGGAACAAAGAGCTCGGTATTCGTTAGATACCAAGCATCTTCCATCGCACCACGTGTTCAGGAGACAGGGGGACAACCTCTGGAACCACTAAGGAACACGTACTCTCTAATAAAAGAAATATTTGTGCACATTTCGTTTATGGATTATGAGCATAATTTGTGTCAGGATGACAAGTACCACTATAAGACAAAGGAGGAGGAGACCACAGAATCAGTCAAGAAAATGAAGAAATCAAAAGAAACCTTATATGAGTACTTGTATAAATAGAATTCCATCACACTGTGTAAAGAGAGTTCTAGAAATTGGTATTCACAAGACACCATACGCAAAGGCTCTAAGCCAAAAAAACTCATTATAATCTTCTTCTTCAAGTAATACAAACCCTAAGAAACAAGAGTCTTCACGACAATGGATATAGTCTTGTTCCTTTGACTAACGTGAACCATTTACGTATTGTTTTAAATCTGATTTCATCTCTCACTTCTCTATTAATCTAAATATTCACACTATGCCCTCTCTTATTGGGTCTCATAATCGTTGTTCTGCATTTGGGCTAAGTATTTTTGAACACCATCACAAATAAATTTTTTTTAATATATTTTAAAATACAAAGTGAAATTAACCATTGCGAGTAAAATAAAATATACCCTTTTTTTTAATAATACTACAAAATTTAAATAAAATTTAAAAAATTATTACTTAAATATATATTATCTCTTGAACGAGTAAATTTTATCAATTTTTTTAATAAAATTCACTCATTCAAGAAATAATGTATACTTAAATTTTATTTGAATTATATAACAATTTTTTTTTTATCCGCAAACATCTGTGTCCCATGTTTAACGGGTCGTGTCCCTTTGTATTCTTTTAAGCAATCAAACATTTAAAAAGCTAAAGCAGATTTGCATTTTTAGCAAACACAGCATAGACACGGCGACACGGTCAGCTTCTCACTTTACTACCTTTTAACTTCTATATATCTTTATCTCCGTCCCTCTCTCTCTATACAGAACAACCACAATCAATGGTGGATCCTTCTTTTCACCTCAACCCATATTAACATCTGGGTCCCTACCCAGTTGTCACCCACCCTTTAATCTCTGCAAGAAGAGAGAGAGAGAGAGCCACACATTTATACACCTATAGATGTAGAGAGAGAAAAAATTGGACAGAGAGAGCCATTTCACTTCTGGGTCCGACCCAGTTTTTGTCATCTACCCTCTAAACTCTACACAAGATGAGATAGCTATAGCCAGTCACATATATATACATACACCCATAGATATAGAGAGAGAAAAAAATTATAGGAGGGTGGAGGGAGGAGGTTGTGTATGATGGAGAAAAGCTGTCTTTCCTCTGGTGATTCAAATACTGTTACTAGTAGTAGTAACAGTAGTAGCACTAATAACAGAGATCAATACCTCAAACACCTAAACAAAATCTCTCAGAAGATCTCCAAACCCTCTCATCAGAACAACTCGAGAAAGTCAAACTTTGATCATCATCCTCCTCATCATCAGCCATCAGGACCACCGGAGCTAGATCAAACGACGGCGCCGCCGCAGCAGCATCAGCCGCCGGTATACAATATCAACAAGAGTGACTTCCGCGACGTAGTTCAGAAGCTCACCGGCTCTCCTGCTCACGAGCGGTTCTCTACTCCGCCGCCGATACAGCCGCCAAAACCACCGAGCTCTCGCCTCCAGCGGATCCGCCCTCCTCCCCTCGCGCAGATTAGTAACCGCCCTCCTCCCCCACTAAACTGCGCTGCCCCACCACCTCAACCACCGCCAAACCCTAACAATCCCACCTCCACCGCCGCCAGTGGCTGCTTCACCACCGGTCAACGGCAAGTACAGCCTCTGTCACCGCTACCGCCGTTCCCTGCGGTGCACGCGGCGGCGGAATCGCCGATCTCCGCCTACATGAGGTTTCTTCAGAGTTCAATCTCCTCTGTCGATTCCGANTTCTATATATCTTTATCTCCGTCCCTCTCTCTCTATACAGAACAACCACAATCAATGGTGGATCCTTCTTTTCACCTCAACCCATATTAACATCTGGGTCCCTACCCAGTTGTCACCCACCCTTTAATCTCTGCAAGAAGAGAGAGAGAGAGAGCCACACATTTATACACCTATAGATGTAGAGAGAGAAAAAATTGGACAGAGAGAGCCATTTCACTTCTGGGTCCGACCCAGTTTTTGTCATCTACCCTCTAAACTCTACACAAGATGAGATAGCTATAGCCAGTCACATATATATACATACACCCATAGATATAGAGAGAGAAAAAAATTATAGGAGGGTGGAGGGAGGAGGTTGTGTATGATGGAGAAAAGCTGTCTTTCCTCTGGTGATTCAAATACTGTTACTAGTAGTAGTAACAGTAGTAGCACTAATAACAGAGATCAATACCTCAAACACCTAAACAAAATCTCTCAGAAGATCTCCAAACCCTCTCATCAGAACAACTCGAGAAAGTCAAACTTTGATCATCATCCTCCTCATCATCAGCCATCAGGACCACCGGAGCTAGATCAAACGACGGCGCCGCCGCAGCAGCATCAGCCGCCGGTATACAATATCAACAAGAGTGACTTCCGCGACGTAGTTCAGAAGCTCACCGGCTCTCCTGCTCACGAGCGGTTCTCTACTCCGCCGCCGATACAGCCGCCAAAACCACCGAGCTCTCGCCTCCAGCGGATCCGCCCTCCTCCCCTCGCGCAGATTAGTAACCGCCCTCCTCCCCCACTAAACTGCGCTGCCCCACCACCTCAACCACCGCCAAACCCTAACAATCCCACCTCCACCGCCGCCAGTGGCTGCTTCACCACCGGTCAACGGCAAGTACAGCCTCTGTCACCGCTACCGCCGTTCCCTGCGGTGCACGCGGCGGCGGAATCGCCGATCTCCGCCTACATGAGGTTTCTTCAGAGTTCAATCTCCTCTGTCGATTCCGATCCCAAGAGATTCTCCGGATTCTCACCTTTAGCTCCGCTGGTTTCACCTAGATGGAACAATCTCGAACAAGCTCAACCGCGACAGCATCACCCGCAACCGTTGCCGCCGCAGCTGCAGAACATTCCTCCACCGATCACATCTGCTTCTATGGCTTTCCCACAGATTCCGATGCCACCGCCGTCATCTCCGCTGCCTTTTGGTTGCTTGCCGTCGCCACGGTCGCCGTACCCTTTGCTTTCCCCAAGCTTTCTATTTTCACCGACGGGCCAATTTGGGTTTCAGCAACTACCTCTGTCACCAACACTGCCGGTGCCGAGCCCTAGTTGGAAACGCCTCTGAGATTCTTCGTCTTCAATCAATACTCCCCTGGTACAAAGGTAAGTGCTTTAGAATTTAGAGTTTTGTTCTGAGGGCTTTATAGATTATAGATATGTTTAGTTGTGTATGGTGGGAACTAAGAACTACATTAAATGGCCAGTGATCGGAGGGAAATGAACTTATGCTGATTAAATAGAGTTTGTTTTGTTCATGAATGTTAATAGGACTGGTGAAATAGAAGAAGTTTCAAGATTTGTTCTGTTCTTTTCTTTGTTGAGTATTGGGGTCAGATGGTTGTGAAAAAAATAAGTAGTCTATGAACTTTACATTATTCTTATTATATGTTTTCTATCTCTGATTGTGTTTATAAGTGCTGTATATGAATGTGTAGAATTGCATCAAAATGCTTACGAATGACTTGAAAGAGATTAGCTGCATGTAAGTAAATGTGATTTCTAAGCTCGTGGATCCGGGTGATGAATTTGTGACTGTCATGAGATCATAGGATTTTCGGCTATGATTTCAGCTCTCAAATATATAGACAACCAGTTTGAGCGACTGCCATTGCTGATATTGATTCATTGTTTGTGATCTTGCAGTGGTTATTGGTGCTGTAGTAAATTTTCTCTCCCCAATTGTTGTTGTGTAATGAAATAGTAGCAGCTAATCATGCTTTGGTGCCAATGCTACTCATTGCAAGTTTATTCAGTTTTTTTAGCTACATTAAAGGTCATCACCCAATTCAATTCTCTTTAACTGAGTGTGTTGGGAGTAGTACTATGTGTACTCTTATGATTTGCACACATCTTGCATTTTGATTACTGGTTGTAGTTTTGGGTATAGGTATTTGTTATAAATATCTTCTATTGTGATGAGAGAAATCTGAACCCTCAGTTAAAAGGTTAAGAAAAAAAATTTGTTGTGATGAGTTGGGACGCAAGGATTTAATTTTAATTGGTGTATGTGCCCCTCCAATGACCTATGCCCCTTTATTTTCTCTCAAACTATTGTCAATCCATCAACTCGTGCGTGATATGCTTCTTATGGTTTGAACTTTGAAGTAGTGGCTGATGATTGGATATTGGGTAAGTAGGTTGATTTAGGGAGATTTGACCTCTGTCTGATTTATATTGCTCTTTTTCCGACTATCATTGTTTGTGGCATTATATATATCTATAGAAATAGAAAAGAGGGTTATTTTCATTGCTTGTTCATGTTTCCTGAAAAAAAGGATTGTATCCCTAGAAAAAGTGCTTGAAGGAATTCATGGTTTGTCCATCCAGTATAGCATTTAAGATTCACTAAAACTATAACTAGGAGAAATGGCTACCATTGTTGATGCTAACGAGAAGGCACGTGATGCAGTTGCTTTTGGCCTGTGGATGTGTTAACCAGACTCAGATTTTTATAGTTATTAGTGCACTGGTAGCTGCTGTAAACATCAATCACAGTCACAACTGCATGAATTCTAACTGAATCCTTCATCACCTAACTTGGTGGTAGAGTAGAGCCTTTGCACTTCAGTTAGGACTTTGTAGTCTGTTTTGCTTTTAATGCATGGCTATTTTAGTCGTCGATGCTCAGTATAGAATCACCAAATTTCTGCACTATGTAGATTTGCTCCCCTCTCCCGCGCGCTGTGTTTAGTCAAAGAGGGGAATACTCCACATTATTTGAGAGCAGTTTGACTTTGTATGGATTGCCAAAATATCCCGTCTTTGCACGCGCAGATGAGGCTATACATGTACTAGTAGTAAGCAACACTATTGGTTTCATGAGCCCTAGACAGAGATCTTTCTTATATGAATGGACAAGAAGACATAGTGATCATCTTGCTTGCTAATGTAAGCGATTATCCACACTTACTATGTGTCAGTCATGGAACTTAATACATAGATTCCTCTAGGAGTTGAGCTTTTCCCCTAGAAGGTAGTTGGTTAATCAGATTATGTTGTCCCTGCAATGCTGAAATGTTGGACTGATGCTGCTAGAAACTAGGGAAGTTGATACCTAGATGAAGAAAGTAAACAAGTTACATCTGTAGACTCTAGTTATTCCTATAGAATAAGATATCTTTTATGCAATTTAAATACAAAAAATGAAGGTTGATATATTTTATGATCAGGTAAATTGTATCCACCTTCCCTAAAGTTTGTTCAAATAACAACTAGACTCCCTCAGGTTGGATAATGACACTGACCCCCTTGCCAGTAACTACCGTCTCAATTTTCTAACATTAACAACAAAATCACAACAATACCCATTGCTGAAGTGGCTCTATTGATTAACTAACTAACTAACTAACTAACTAACTAACTATCTAGTTTTGTGGGATCCAATCATGATGTGTTAAAAAAGCACAAAATATTTTCCCCTGTATAATACAAAATAATGAAACATCGTGATGGGTCCGGCCCAGACAAATACAAACTAGACATAAATTATAGATATAGAATAACAAAAATTCGGTTGTAATTTGTATATGGCCAAGCCTATTTTCCTAGGAGGTTCAGTCCATTGTTAACGCACATGGGAGTCTCCATCTGAGGAGAAGTAATTATGGGCGCACAGTCATTAAGGACACATCGTTAGCTCGGCAAGATTATCTTGCCTGTTGCAAGGCAGAGTGAGTTTCAAGGGATCACTCTTCTAACACATAATCTTACCTGTTGCAAGGCAGAGTGAGTTTCAAGGGATCACTCTTCTAACACATCGCCCATTCCACGGATGAGGCGAAACTCACGGCATCACCTTGTTCCTTGTGAGGGTAATGTCTGAATCAGAGCCCCTTGAAGCTAACTACTTGCTTATAAATTATAAATCCAACTTACATATAGGAGGACATGACAAACATCTCAGCAAATTTTATCTCTCAATTAATAAGACTTGAGACTTTTTGGCCAACGTGACCGTTCTCAGTTGAGTAGGTCATTCAAACCGAAAAACCTAATTTTTATGTTTTTTTGTGTTGAGTTCTCTTTAATTCATTCTTGATTAATTTTAGATATACTCATTTTTGTGCATCAGTAGGTAACTTGATAGCCAAATGACTAAAATCTATTGCAATTCATCATGATTGATGAAATTCATCAGGATTGATCTTCATAGCACATTTTGCAAACTCCATGACAGTCTCTCTGTCTCTCTCTCCTTTACGAATCTATTTCCCACACGCACAAACAAAACTCTCACACTACTCGACAAATATCAATCGACATCACCCACCATTAGGTGAGAAAGGTTGGGGGGTAGACATTCTGCTCGGACAGCCACTTGGTCAACTCAACCACCACCCTCTAGTTCGATATCCACGTAAAAGCTACATCGTCCTCCAACTCCAACACCACTCGAAATACATCAGTCAATTACCCAAAAAAATTGAAATGCCAATTGACAAATAACAATTGAATTCTCCAATCACCCAATACCTTAAACTAAATTCAAAGGATTCTACTTTTCGAAAAAAAATTCGGAGGATTCATCCAAAAACCTAACCACCACCTCCAATGCAGACCTTAAAACCAACTCTTCAATGACTTCTCAGTGCTTTTTAATTCATTACAATGATCTCCCATCCCTGAAATCACTCCTCCACTGGACCTATAACTCCGAGTCGTCCCTCTCCAGTGCCTTGATTGTGCCTCTTGCCAAATCCTTATTGGTTAATCCCGAACAGCTGACGAGAGCTCTTGCAGCTGCTACACTTTCAGTGGCATTTGCCGCCGGGTGGGGGGTTGTCAAGGAGGAGTAAATATTGGGTGTAATATGACATTACATTATCATGTAATAAAACAAAAAATATAATTGGTAAATTTTACTATTTTAACGTGATAGTTATGAAAACAATAAAATCTATTAAATTTATTTAATATTTTATCACGTACATGATACTGATGATATAGAAATATATTACCGTTGCATTTAATATTTTCTCATCAAAAAAGAGCATCTTCATCTCCGTGTGACAAAGGAGAGTCTATGATATCGCGTGGTCAAATAGCGGTATCGTACTATCATAAAGGTGTGGTTGTAAATTTTTTATTATTAAATATTACTCACTAAAGGTGATAACTTTATAGTTAAAAATTAGATTTTTTTTTCTAAAGATTGTAATTTTATCTATAATAGTGATAATTTTATCTCTAAATGTAATAATATTACCTTAAAGGGTTGTAAACTCACCTCAAGAGACTGTAAGCTCACCTCACATCTAAAGGTAATACATTTACCTTCAGTGCTTGTAACATAACCTTAAATAGTTATAATTTCATATCCAAATATAGAAATTTTATCATAAATAATTATAACTTCACATCAAAAAATTGTAATCTAACATTTAAACATTGTAATTTTACCTATATAAAATGTAATTTACCCTCAAATGATTATAACCTTACTTTCAAATATTGTAATTTTACTTTCAATTGTTGTAACCTTATCTAAAGAGTTTGTACTTCACCTTTAAAGGTGATTAGTTTTTTCTCAAGAATAATAGCTTTGATTTTGTAAAGTGTTACTTCATTTCAATAGTCATGATCGATCATGATTATTTATGATCAACCCCAATGCCTATGTGGATGATGTTCCTTTGAACTAATCAAAAAAAAAAAACTTCATTTTATAAAGAAAGTGCATGGGTAAAAATTTGCCAATAGTTAAAATATATTAAGGTGTACCCTTAATCTTCGAGTATCATCAAATTCAAGAGCTGCAAGGTAAAAAAAGATTAGAGGGATTCTCGGCGTTGAGCTAGGAGAAACCCCTCCGATACTTAAGTCGGTATTTACTATCAATACCTGAATAGTCGAATATATAAATTACAAAAAATAATATAAGTGTGTAAAATATAGAACCGAAATGCTTAAAGCTCCTCTTTCTTGAATCTTTACTCATATTTATAGGAAATCAATAGAAAGTTGCATCCCAGTCAATCCATAATGACTTAAAAAATAGGTATAGATTGGCCTCTCAAAATATTCGTTATCCGTAATATTCATATGTCATTTTCTTCATTACGAGTAGAATTAGTGGACCCACCTCATAAATAATGCTCCGTCAGAAAGCATCTTCAAGTTGGGGATTTGGGAAAGACAGTACGATCAGGGAATCAAAAGTCCCACAATAATCATGGGTTTGCTTTTTCGCTAGGATTTAGTACGGCTTCATATTTCACACCCCTTTGCATTGAAAATTTGAACTTCACTACGGTACAAAGAAAAAATAATTATAATAATTTGTTATAGTATTTTATTATTTTAATAAATATTTTTATAATTTTATGAATTATTTTATTNGAAAATTTGAACTTCACTACGGTACAAAGAAAAAATAATTATAATAATTTGTTATAGAATTTTATTATTTTAATAAATATTTTTATAATTTTATGAATTATTTTATAACCAAAAAATTTATAATTTTTATGAGTGATTTATCATTTTTATAAATATTTTTATGACTTTTATTCAATACAAAAAAAATGTTATATTTTATAAATAATTTATTATATTTATTGATAATTTATTATGTTTGTGGGTCCAAGGGGAACAGTGATGAGGAAGTGGACACCAGCCTATGCGCCTGGTTTTGTTGGGATTGAAAAACCTCATGCCCCTCCCTGTCACCCTATCAGCTACATCACATTGTTTTTCCGTGGTTGTATTTACGGACTAGACTATTAATACTATTTTTTAGGGAGGAGGAAAGGTATATACTAAAGTGTCAAACCCTACACCGAAAATCAGTGGCAGACAAGGTAACTGACACATCAAATGGTACGAAGTAATATTATGTATCTTAAATTTATATTTTAAATCAAGAATAAATATTGGATCAATGAATTTAATCAATTTTTTTAAATAGAACCTATTGATCCAATGATCTTCTTTGATTTAAAATACATATTATTACTCAATGGTATGATA